TATCCATGGTAGTTTATGGGAATAGCATTGAATCTATGAATTACTTTGGGAAGTATGGCCATTTTCATGATATTGATTCTTCTTACCCATGAGCATGGAATGTTTTTCCATTTGTTTGTGTCCTCTCTCATTTCCTTGAGTAGTGGTTTGTAGTTCTCCTTGAAGACGTCCTTCACTTGCCTTGTTAGCTGTATTCCTAGGTATTTTATACTCTTTGTAGCAATTGTAAATGTGAATTCATTTGTGATTTGGCTCTCTTCTTGTCTATTGTTCATGTATAAGAATGCTTGAGATTTTTGCACACTGATTTTGTACCTTGAGACTTTGCTGAAGTTGCTTGTAGCTTAAGAATCTTTTGGGCTGAGGTGATGGGATTTTATAGATATAGGATCATGTCATCTGCAAAAAAAGACAGTTTGACTTCCTCTTTTCCTGTTTGAATGTGCTTTATTTCTTTCTCTTGCCTGATTGCCTTGGCCAGAACATCCACCACTATATTGAATAGGAGTGGTGAGAGGGCATCCTTGCCTTGTGCCAAATTTCAAATGGAATACTTCCAGCTTTTGCCTATTCAATATGATATTGACTGTGGGTTTGTCATAAATGGCTATTATTATTTTGAGGCATGTTCCATCAATACCTAGTTTCGTGAGAGTTTTTAACATAAAGGAGTATTGAATTTTATCAAAGACCTTTTCTGAGTCAACTGAAATAATCATGGGGTTTTTGTCTTTAGTTCTGTTTATGTGGTGAATTCCATTTATTGATTTGCATATGTTGAACCAGCCTTGCACCCAAGGGATGAGGCCGACTTGATCTTGGTGGATAAGCTTTTTGATGTATTGCTGGATTTGGTTTGCCACTATTATATTGAGAATTTTGCATCCAAGTTTATCAGAAATATTAAGCTAAAGTGTAGTAAATACATTGAAAATAGTAACAGACTGATTAAAAGACTAAATAATATGAATCCTAAGTGTTTTCACAACTGATTTATAGAGTAAAAGCATTGCCAAACCAAATGAGTTTGGCCAAAAACTGTACAGGGTCTGAGATGTTGTCTCAACTTCCATTACTCATTGTGAGGTGGACCTGCAGTAACTATATTTGATGCAAAATTTCATGTTGATGGAAGCTGAGATGTCCTGCAGTCTCACAGGGACAGAATTCTGGTGTATCTCCCTTTGGCCTGTCAGGAATGAAGATCTAGAGTCTACAGGTTTTGTCAAAATTTACAAGATGTAGGAAATGGGGCAGGATTTAGGCTGTGAGGCAAAGCCTAGAGGTATAAAGAAATAGCTTCTGACCCAGGGCTCATGAAGTCAGGACAGTTTCAGAGGGGATGGTGGAGTGAGCATAGTGCAGTCTTTGGAACCATTCCATCCCCTTATTTGTTCATAGGCCAGATGTGCTCAACCAGGGGGCATCTCGGGTCTGATGAACAGAGTCCTGGAGAGACAAAGGGGCAATCCTGAGGAAGAGGCTCAACAGGGAGGAAGGAGCCACCATTTCCTCTCCTGAGAAAAATCCTTCTCCCTAGGAAACCATAGGATTTTCCTTGGTCCCAGTGAGAGTTTTCCTGAGTGTAGAAAACAGAGAGAGCAAGGGACTGATGTGTTATCTGTTTCCACCACCTGCAGTGATTCTGAAACCATGGGGGACAGAATTATCTTCAGAATCATGAGCAATCCAGATGCCATGGTTTCACACAAGACACTGGAAGTTCTTATCTCTGGGGGGTAGGCACTGGCCATTGATATTCTTTAAAGCTCATTCACTGATTACAAAGTGAGCCAAATTAATAATCTACTGCAAGTTTTACTAATCTCACTTTACTTCACACACAATTCACACAGACACATTGTTAATATACACATTTTGATGCTTGGACAGGGTTGGACCCAAGATTCTGTACTTCTATGGAGCCCTGTGTTCTGCCCAGGTGTCATTTACTCCCAGGTAAGTAAACTGATCACCGTAACTAACAAGAGATTGATCTGTGATGATTAGAAATGAAAAGACCTGTTGGTTATGTTTTATTGGGATGGATTCTATTAACATTTAAATACAGTTTAAAAACACAGATTTATAATGAAAAGTAACCTGCAAATATAAAAAGTGAAGGGGCTATTCCCCAAAATAGTTTCCACTGAAATACCACCAGAGAAAAACAACTCTCAGGACAGGGATACTGCTTCAAAGACACAGATTTCACAGCTGGATGGTTGATCTAGAATTTCCGAAAATTCCATCCTTTACTCATGAAATGCAGCTTATTTAAGAACTTTCTAATTTGACTGTAATTTCATACTCATACACTTCAGAGTGTTGTGTATTATTCCATTTATGATAAGTATAACATATTTGAAAATGAATTACATACTGGTGAGAAAATTTTCCCTTTAAATTAAATTTAAACTGACACCATAAAATTAGCAGCATCTCTTCGTCTGTTCCATGAATTACCTAGGTTCTACCCAGGGCACCTGAGGTCGGTTGAAAACAAATGCAAAAAAAGTTGGGGTAAAAAATAAGAACACCCTTTCAATGTTACAAATGCATCCCAGGTTCAATTAGTCACATTCATGAGAATGATTCACATATATCCCACATTAGCAAAATTTCACCTACTCTCGCCTACCAATTGACTAATCAAAACAAACCAAGACAGAATAATAAATTCAAATCCATCCAGTAACCTGAGGGGGAAACCTATACCTCAAAATGTAGTATACAGATATTCACACAGGATGTCATCTACTGTGAAAACACATGCATGGAGACAGTCCCTTCACATGATCAGAATACTCACAACTCCACGACAACATATTAGATATGGGATCATTTTGAAATGCAGACATCACTAACCAGTTGTACCTTTGCACACACAAAAACCTGAGGACCACATTATGTTATGTACGAATGACTGTACACCTGCGTGTGTGTGTGTGTGTCTAGGGATCCGGGGAATCCAATAGACATTCCAGCGATAACCTTTCCATGTTCAGCTTCTTGATTCTATATCCGAATGAAATGACTTGCCAGTGGGGAACACGAGAAGTCTTTGCAGGAAGTGCTCTGGTGGGAGCTAGATACCCAAAGCATAAAGCATGAAGTGTTGGAAACATGCACTGAAGTTAGACGAAATACTCAATGCACAATTTAGATGGTGAAAGACTTTCAGGTAATCCTGCAATCACCGAGAGGCTGATTGATGACATTCCCCGAATTTATGATTGCAAGAAGAGAGAAATACTCATGACATTCTATTTCCAGTGGTTGCGGACGTACGACGGCAATTTAAGAAATCACGAAATCAAGAAACTTGAGTAATCGGAGGCTATGCCACCTAGAACCTTCGGTTCCTTTAACAAAGGATGAAAATAAAAACAACATATCACACAGCATGGGAGAGGACATTTTCATATGTATGTGGTAATGGATCAACATTTGAGAGAGATGCAATAAAAAGTTCTAAATTTGACAAAAGCAAACAACCAGAATTAAACACTGGAAAAGCCTGGGTGACAAGACTGAGGCGCCCTGTCCCAAGAAGAAAGAAACAGAGAGATTTAAAAGCAGGGAGTGAAACAGAGGTTTGTACACCATTGTTACTACTGGCCCGTGTTTCAGTAGGAAAAGGCGAAAAGAAGGCATTTATCTCATGGATTCTTGCGTGGATTGTTCAGGATTTGCGATATTGCCTCCATTTCCAGTTAGGCATTGTGTGGTGGACTGGCAGTTCCCACATTTGGTGCAAAATTTAAAGCTGATGAATGTAGACATGTTCCCCAAAGTAGGAGGGGCAGAATTTGGGTGTGTCTTCAGGCCCGTTGAGTTACCAGGAATGAAGATCCTGGCTCCAGAGATTTTGTCAAAAAGTCTTAGAGAGTAAGAAACGGGGCAGAATTTAGGCCCCGCGCCAAGGCCTCGAGGTGTAAAGAAACACCCTGGCCTCAGGGCCCGTGAAATCAGGATGATTTTAGGGAGGATGGTGGAATGAAAGGACTGTGACCTTTGGCCCCGTTTCTTTCCATTGTCTTTTCATGGGGCAGGTGTGTTCAATCAGAAGGCTTCCCGTGCCCCATAAAAAGAGTCCTGGGGGAGTAAAGAAGCGCTGCTTAGAGAGTTGCTCCATGGGGAGAAAGGAGCCACCATTTTCAGGAGAATGATCCCCAGAAGCATGAGCAGTCCAGATGCCGCGGCTTCACACAAGACGCTGGAGGGTGTTATGTCTGAAGCCGGGACCTGGGCATCGGTGTTCTTTCATGCTCATAACTGATTTTGAGGTGAGTCCAATGGATCACCTGTCTGCCAGTCATGCTCGTCACATTGTAGTTTGCACACACATCACACAGAGACACTGTTAATATGCACATTTGTGTGCTTGAGCAGGGTTGCACCCAAGATTCTGTGATTGTACGGAGCCCTGAGTTATGCCCTGGACATCTTTACTCTCGGGTTGGTCAACTTGGATCACTGCACCGAATGAGAAATGGAGCCTGAAATCCAATCAGCGAATACACAAAAGGAAGGGGCCATTTCCCACAATCATTTCCACTGCAACACCACCTCGCATGAACAAGTCTCACTGCAGGTCAGGGACTGTGCTTCAGAGATGCACCTTTCGCAGCTGGATGATTGATCCGGAATCTCCCTAAATGCCATTTTTATACACACCAAATGAGATTTATTTCAATGCTTGCTGATTTTTTTCAGTTGAATACACACGCTCCTGTGTTTGATTTCCTGTATTATCAGTACGACTTACTTCCAAACGACTCACATACCAGTGGGATGATTTTCCGCTTCAATTCATTGGAAATGGACAGCATTCAATGGGCAAGGGTGTCTGTCTGTCTGCTTCCAGCATTCTGTGGGTTCCACCAAGGGCACAAGTCCTAGGGCGCCTGAGGTCCGTTCAACAAGCAATGTAAAAATGGCGAGGCAGGATCAAAAGAAGAACACCCTTCCTCTCTTCAAATGTGTTTCAGTTTCCACTACTCAGGGTGGCGAGAATGACCCACAGATGTCCCACTTTCGCACAATTTCAACTTCTGGTGCTCACCAACAACTGACGAATGAAACACACCCCAAGAGAAAATGGTCAATCCAGTCCCCTGCAATAACTCCACGTGCAACCCTACAGCACAATATGTCGTATTCAGAAATTCACACTGAATGTCATCTACCATGAACACAAACACACAGACAATCCCTCCAACAGGTCAGAAGACTCACGACTCCAAAATTCAATGTTTCCCATGTCTGGGCTCATCCTGAAATGCAGCCATCACTATCCAGTTGTCCCTCTTGTATAGACAGAAACCTGGGCTCCTCATTATTTTATGTAGGATTGACTGTGTATATGATGGTGTGTGTGTGTGTGTGCACAAACCCGCTCGTGGGTGTGTGTGTGTACGTGTGTGTGTGTGTGAGTGTGTGCGTGCGCACTCCTGCGTGTGGGTCGAGACTTTCCCTGAGATCACTGGCACACAAACAGAACCCTCTTGCTGTGTTTGTTCCTCTCTTTGGATCTCCTGGTCCTCCCTTGCAGAGAAGTGAGTGTGCCAGTGTTCATGGACTCCTGAGGTGTCAGGTTCCTTGAAGAGAGGTTCAGCAGGGAGCTTTGCTGTTCAGGATGACGGTTGTTCATCCCACTCTTGTATTTTGACGGATGAATCACAAGCACGTTGGGAGGCAGGGTACATTCGACTTTTCTGATGTTGAAGTCAGGCTTGGTTTTGTTTTGCTCTTGGAGGAACTTCCAGTGGTCTAAGGTGTTTTCCTGAGTGGCTTTTTCCACCAAGTGCTCCTCCAAATCGGGCGGTACCTGGAGGCAGGGTTCTCTCTGGAGCTCTCCTTGCTTTGCTCACCTATCTGTGTGTTCAGCACCAAGGGCTCCTGGTTCCCTGCCTATTCACACACTCTCACTGCGTCTTTCCAATTCACTCTTCTGGATGTAAAAGAGGACATAGGCCAGCTGACTCAAGACAGAAGCGATGCTACAGGCAGTGACCTCGGCATCATCCATTTTATACCACTGGCCTCCTGGAGCTTTCATATAAGAGAGGTAATGTCCGTTGTGACAACTCCACTCAGCGTGGACCAGCACAGCATAGAGGACATAGACAAGAGGTCCTGTGTTCTGCTGAGACACGTATGGCTGCATGTCAAGGCACTCAGGATATTGCACATTCTTGGCAAGTTTGTTGCCTGTGACATCGGAGAATCTCCTCAATACAAGGATGAGGACCTTGGCAGAAGTCTGTAAAGTGAACGTGTTGGAGGCAGGTGCCTTCTGGAGACCAAGACCACAATGATAGGCATTCTCTCCATTGAGTTCTTCAGGCTTCACCACCTGTTCCAAAGCTTGCTTCACACTCTGAGCTGCCTGGATATCCAGGGCGATGTCCAGATAAGGGCCAAAGATGTCCGAAATGCCCTGGCAGTGGAGACACTTGATTTGAGATCTCCAGTAGCCTCCAAATATCTGGTGGATGAGGGTGGTGTCCTTAGAGTCATGATCTACCTGCTTGTGCCCGGGAAGGCATGCCTTTTTCATGGCATCCGTAGTGAACATCAGAAATTCATGGGCATCTTCCTGCTTGCCTCTATGGAAGCCAGCAGCCAATGCCTGTGAGGGCTGGATGACGTGACCAGGACAGTGGAGGACCCGTGTGATGTGAGCTTCCATCATACACAGCATGCAGCACTTGTGACGATGACAAGTTTGAGAGTGCTCCCGGGACAGCATGTAGTTGGCAAGGGGTGGTGTGTATGTCAGGCACTGCAGGGAAGCATTCACGTAGCAAGTATTTCCCATATTCTGGAGCCCAGCCCCCACCAGCAGGTCTCCTGCTACTGAGAGGAAGCTTCTTTCCGGGGGCAGGCTGTCTTGCCACAGGAGCCAAACCATCACAGAGGTTGACATGGGTCTCAGATGACAGTGGTGACTTCCCAGGTAGAGAAGCTGGATTTCAGCAAAAGCTGCATCTGGCCGAGAAGATGTGAGTTTTGAGGAGTGGTTGAACTGCCACTCACCTCCCAAGTGGAGTGAATCGGCCTCCATGTCGCCAGGAGCAAGGATCACAAGCTTTTTCTGCTGGGACCGCACGTTGCAGAAAGACGCTATCTCTTCCGAGACAGTCTTCAAATGACGCGCTATCTGGCCTCATCAGCCCTTATATAACTCACCCCCGCCTACCGTGAACACCCCACCCACCCATCAGGTATGCAATCCACCAATCAAATATCAGCACTCAATTAAGGAATGAGTCATAAGGTGTGTCCCCTTGTATTCCCCAGGGAGTTCAACGGACACAGCCCACATCGTGATTTATAGAACACCTGAAGCAAATTTACGCCTCAGGATGATAGGCACATATAATAGGAGTGCAACCGGCTTGGCTTAGGACAGTGGCCACACATTTGCCTTAGTTTAGGTAAAACAATACCAGGAAAGAATTGTGTACCTATGAAACAGTGTGTGTATACTTACGTGTGTGTGTGCTTGCGTGTGTGTGTGTGTGTGTTTGTGTGTGTGTGTGTGTGTGCACGTGCACTCCTGCACGTGGATTGAGACCTTCTCTGAGATCACTGGCACACAAACAGAGCCCTCTTATTGTGTTTGTTCTTCCCTTCGGATCTCCTGGTCCTCCCTTGCAGAGAAGTGAGTGTGCCAGTTTTCATGGACTCCTGATGTGTCACATCTGCATTAGTTTACTTAAAACATTGCTAGGGAATAATTTTGTACTTCCAAAACAGTGTGTGTGTTTGTGTGTGTGTGTTTGCTTGCGTGAGCTTGTGGGCATGCACAATCATGCCCTTGTGAGTGTGTGTTTGTGTGTGTTTTTATGTCTGAGTGTGTGTGTGTTTGAGCTGCGATGTGCTTCCAACTATGTGCTTTTGGCAGATACAATCATCCTTTCAGGCATTGAAGGACAGGAAGTTGGACCTGTGCTTTCTAACTTGAGAATCATCAATGAAGTACAGTTAATAACACAGTGTATTTGTTTCCTTAATATCAAAGAAGGATCTGTGCAGTCAAATAGCTATTCCAGCGATAACCTTTCCATGTTCAGCCTATTGATTCTGTGTCTGAGTGAAATGACTTGCCAGTGGGGACCAAGACAATGCCTTTGCAGGAAATGCTCTTGTGGAAGCTATATGTCCAAATCATAAAGCATCAAGTGTTGGAAACATGCACTGAAGTTAAACGAATTACTCAGTGCACAAATTAGACTGTGAAAGACTTTCAGGAAATAATGCAATCACCGACATACCAATTGATGACATTCCCCAAATTTATGATTGCAAGTAAAGAGAAATACTCATGACATTCTATTTCCAATGATTGCGGACGTATTACGGCAATTTAAGAAATCATGAAATCAGAAAACTTGACTAATCACAATCTATGCCAACTAAAACCTTTGGTTCATTTAAGAAAGGATGAAAATAAAAGCAACATATTACACAGCATGGGAGATAATATTTTAATACGTATGTGATAATGGATCAACATTTGAGAGAGATGAGATAAAAAGTTCTAAATTTGAGAATAGCATATAATCAGAATGAAACACTGTAAATGCCTGGGTGATGTGAGTGAGTCCCTGTCTCAAGAAGAAACATAGAGATTTAAAAGCAGAGCGTCCAAAAGAGATTTGCATACCATTGTTAATACTGGCAGTTGTTTTAATAAGAAAGGGAAAAGTAAACCATTTGTCTTAGGGATTCTTGCATCTATTTTTCATCATCTGAGATGTTGCTTCCAATTCCAGTTAGGCATTGTGTGGTGGACTTGCAGTTACCACATTTGGTGGAAAATTTCATGCTGATGAAAGTAGACTTGTTTCCCAAACTAAGAAGGACAGAATTTGGGTGTTTCTTTGGGACTTTTGGCTTACTAGGAATAAAGATCCTGGCTCTAGGGATTTTCTTAAAATTTTTCAGACAATGAGAAAGAGAATAGAATTTAGGCCAGGCGCCAAGGCCTCGAGGTGTACAGAAGCATCCCCGGTCTCGGGGCCCATGAAATCAGGATGATTCTAGTGAGGATGGTGGAATGAGGGGAGTGTGACCTTTAGCCTCCTTTCTTTCCCTTTTCTTTTCATGGGTCAGGTGTGCTCTATCAGAAGGCTTCCCCTTTCTGTTGGACAGAGTCCTGGAAGAAGAAATGAGCGCTGCTGAGAAAGATGCTCCACAAGGAGGAAGGAGTCACCATTTTCAGGAGCATGATCCCCAGAAGCATGAGAAATCCAGATGCCGTGGCTTTACACAGGATGCTGGAGTTTCTTTCCTCTGGATCCCGGACCTTGGCATCGGTGTTCTGTAATACCCATAACTGATTTTGAGGTGAGTCCACTTGATAACCTGTCTGTGTGTCATGCTCATTACACTGCAATTCACACACATGTCACACCGAAACACTCTGAATGAGCATATTTATGTGCTTGAACAGTGTCGCACCCAAGATTCTGTGATTCTCAGAGTCCTGAGTTCAGTCCTGGACATCTCTACTCTTGGGTAGGTCAACTTTGATCACTGTACCTAATGATAAATGTACCATTAAATCTAATCAGCAAATACACTAAAGGAAGGGGCCATTCTCCACAATTGTTTCATTCTGGTAGGTCAACTTTAATAACTGTACCTAAGAAGAAAGGGATCTGTGATGATTCCACATCAAAGAACCTGTTGATTTTTTGCCATTTGAATGAATTATGTTAACATTTAAATAGAGTTTAAAACTCCACATTTCCCATGAAATCTAATCAGCAGATACACAAAAGGAAGGGGCCATTCTCCAAAATCGTTTCCACTGAAACACCACCACCAATAAACAAGTCTCATTGCAGGAAAGGGATCCTGCTTCCAAGATCCAGTTTGCACAGTTGGACGATTGGCCCAGAATCTCCCCTAATGCCATTTTTTTACACCCCAAGTGAGATTTATTTCAAGGTTTTCTAATTTTATTTCAGCTGAATACACACCCTCCTGTGTTTCAATGTCTTTCAAACACCTTTTAATAATGAAGTATCTTGCTGCTTCACCCCTTATATAGCTAATGCCCACCCACCGGTTCCACTACATTTACCCATCAATTACCCAATTTACCAATGAAATATCAGCAGTCAATTAAGTTTTGTGTCTTAGGTTCTATCCTTTTGCATTCCTCAGGGAATTTAATGGACACAGCTTAAATTGTGATTATAGAACAGTGGAATCAGGTTTACTAATCAGTGTTATGGGCAAATATGATAGGAGTGGAACCGGGTTAGGACAGTGGCTACACATTTGCCTTATTTCATGTAAAACAATGCCAATTAACAATTGTGTACATATTAAACAGTTTGCTTCTGTGTGTGTATTTGTGTCTTTGTGTCTGGATGTGTGTGTGTGTGTGTGTGTTGAGAAGTACTTCCAAGCATGTGCATCTGGGAGATAAGATCATTCTTTCAGCAATTGAATGACAAGAAGTTGGAACTACTCTTTCTGATTTGAGAATGTGCAGTGATGTTATGTAATTAACACAGCATATTCTGTCTTAATTAAGATGGAGGGATCAATGGAGTCAAATAGACATTCTAGAGATAACCTTCTCATTTTTGGCCAATTGATTCTATATCATGTTGCAATGATCTGGCTGTGGGGACAAGACAAGTCTTTGCATGAAATGGTCTTGTGGAAGCAATATATGCAAATAATAAAGCATCAAATGGGACTATGCCTTCAATTTGTAGAAACATTCACTTATGTTTGATGAAATTCTCAATGCCCAAAATAGACTGTGGACCACTTTCAAGAAAACATGCTATAACCCAAAGATTAATTGATGACATCCACCGAAGTTATGACTGCAAGAAAAGAGAAATATTCATGGCATTTTATATCCAAGAGTTTCTGTATATGACAGCATATTTTAAAAAGTCAAAATCAGAAAAATTTAACAAACAGGAAGATATCTAAGCTAAAACCTTTTGTTCATTAAAGGAGCGATGAGAGGCAGTTCCAAGATGGCCGAATAGGAACAGATCCAACCTCCAGCTCCCAGCGTGAGCGACACAGGAGACGGGTGATTTCTGAATTTCCAACTGAGGTACCAGGTTCATCTCACGGGGGCTTGTTGGACAGTAGGGGCAGGACAGTGAATGCAGCCCACAGAGCAACAACCAAAGCAGGGCGAGGCATCACCTCACCCAAGAAGTGCAAGGGGGAAGGGAATTCCCTTTCCTAGCCGAGGGAAACAGTGATACACAACACCTGGAAAATTGGGTTACTCCCACCCTAACAATGCCCTTTACCAAGGGTCTCAGCAAATGTCACACCAGGAGATTATATCCCGCATCTGGCTTGGAGAGTCCCATGCCCACAGAGCCTCCCTCATTGCTAGCACAGCAGTCCGAGATCTAACTGCAAGGAGGCTGCAAGGCTGGGGGAGGAGCACTCGCCATTGCTGAGGCTTGAGTAGGTAAACAAAGTGGTTGGGAAGCTCGAACTGGGTGGAGCCCACCACAGCTCAAGGAGGCCTGCCTGCCTCTGTAGACTCCACCTCTGGGGACAGAGCATAGCCAAACAAAAGGCAGCAGAAACCTCTGCAGATGTAAATGTCCCTATCTGACAGCTTTGAAGAGAGTAGTGGTTCTCCCAACATGGAGTGTGAGATCTGAGAGCAGACAGACTGCCTGCTCAAGTGGGTCCCTGACCCTGGAGTAGCCTAACTGGGAGACACGCCCACTAGGGGCAGATTGACACTTCACACCTCACACAACCAGGTACCCCTCTGAGACAAAGCTTCCAGAGGAACGATCAGGCAGAAACATTTGCTGTTCAGCAATATTCACTCTTCTGCAGCCTCCGCTGCTGACATCCAGGCAAAGAGGGTCTGGAGTGGACCTCGAGCAAACTGCAACAGACCTGCAGCTGAGGGTCGTGACTATTAGAAAGAAAACTAACAAACAAACAGAAAGGACATCCACACCAAAACCCCATCTGTACATCCACATGATCAAAGACCAAAGGTAGATAAAACCACAAAGATGGGGAAAAAGAAGTGCAGAAAAACTGAAAATTGTAAAAATCTGAGCACCACTCCCCCTCCAAAGGAGTGCAGCTCCTCTCCAGCAACGGAACAAAGCTGAACAGAGAATGACTTTCACGAGTTGAGAGAAGAAGGCTTCAGACGATCAAACTTCTCCGAGCTAAAGGAGGAAGTTCGAACCCATAGCAAAGAAGCTAAAAACCTTGAAAAAAGATTTCCTGAATGGCTAACTAGAATAACCAATATAGAGAAGTCCTTAAATGACCTGATAGAGCTGAAAACCATGACACGAGAACTACATGACAAATGCACAAGCTTCAGTAACCAACTCGATCAACTGGAAGAAAGGATGTCAGTGATTGAAGATCAAATGAATAAAATGAAGTGAGAAGAGAAGTTTAGAGGAAAAAGA